ACCGGTTTTGCTTTCGACGGAGGTCGAGGTTCGCGCTAATTTTTTGATTAGAGACACTGAAAAAGCGAGGTAAATAACCGCAAGTGTCAACTGTTTTCATGGTTAATCGTGATGATCTTGAAAAATTCTTTGTTTCAAACATTTATTTGCAATTCAAAAAATGCTCTTAATTTAAGTGCCTTGTTACGTTTCATCAAAATACATTAAAAATAAACAATAGAATGATGCATTTTTTGTTTGAAATAGACTTTGGCTTCTTCGTGTTGACCTCCCATTATTTTATTGTTCGAAAATCCCATATACTCGGTGACCCAAATTCGCACAAACACTAAACGATTAAATTAAAAACAAAAAATACAATCCCAATAAAATAGTTATACCGAGTGAACCAAAAGTAGCGCAGAAAAATCATAATCTTATGAGTCTTTTTTTAATTTTTCTAACAGGTCATTTTTATGTTTAGCATTTATAAAATAAAAGTGACCTGTTTGAAATTTTTTTTGAAAAACACTCATAATAAAAATATGAATTTTGTGAATAAAAATATTTTAATTTTCGTTACTTTAAATAAAAAAACTATGTTTTTTATTACGTTTTAGGATCACTCAATGATTTTGCAAGTTTTTTTAGATTTTCCTATTCCTTAGTTAAACCGTTTTCGACTTTTTTGATTTTTTTTGTAACTTTCTAGCCAAAAATCGATAACTCAACTATTTTTGAAAAAATAGTTTTGAGTAAAACCTTTTTAAAATTTATGTTACACTTGTTTCGTTGTGTTTTTTACCGAAAAAAAAATGATCAAATTTTGTTGAAAATCATATTATTTTTGCTTCTTGGAACATTTTAGCATGTTTTTAAGATAAATAAGACTTCATCGAGACAAGATAAAAAATCAAGAAATTAAATCGAAGATGATGCTATTTTTCATTTTCTCAAGCGTTTAAGAAAGTTTTTCAGCCAGAAATGCAATCTTTTGCAAAATTTTGCCCAAAACAGTCGAAAAATCAATAAAAATTGTGCTATTTTTGCCTCTTTAAGCAGTTAAATATATTTTTGAGCGAATAAACTGAGTTTTTACGCTAAAACAGACCAAAACTTACCAAATTAGATCGAAAATTATGACATTGACGTTTTCCAGAGTAAAAGAATGTTTTTGAGATAATAATTAGTCCACAAAATCATTAAACTAGATTCAAATTACCGTTCTATTTTTTTTTTTTTTAAATGAAACAGAATTTAATTCAGCATCAACATTCCCTATACTTATAAGTGATTTAATGATTTCCAAGTTATCTTAACTTTTTTAATGGAAGAAATTCATTATTTTATCTGTAGTAGTTTTTTTTCACAATTGTGTTATTTTTATTCGTAAATATAAATTAATTTTAGTTAGTTTTAGTATCAAAAAAAGTTACTATAACTTGAAAACTATTAAATAGAAAATGTTAATACAGCTCGAAGCAGAATTAAATTCTCCTCCATTTAGTATAAAAAAAATTGAGCGTTTCATTTAGAAAATTGATTTAAGGGCTTTGTTAATTATTTTCCCAGTTATGAATATACCAAAAGAAAGACCAAACCTTTCTCTTCCATATGCCCAAATACGAATTCAAAATAACAAAAAATGGTAGAGTTACCAATTTTTGAAGAGAAAGGTGCAAATCCAAAAAAAATAAAAAAAGTATAAATATTTCTAAAACCGTTAAAGGGAAGGCTAATAGAAACTTTCTCAGTTGATACCCACTTCCGGTATAAGCGGAAGTGTCGCCATCTTGAAAATATTTTTATTGCGCAGGACCTAACCGGTAATAACTATAAACAAAATTTTAGGTAAATATCGTCATTAGAACCGCCAGTACTTCTTATGTGGAGTTTAACTAGGACACCCTGTATAACACACACTATTTACCCAAACAAAAACAAAATAAAAATAATAACAAAAGAACAAAAAATAAAACAATACATTTTGCCTTCTTCAATAAATGTTAAAGAAAGGAAACAAAACAAGAATAGCCTTTTATTTCATTCTATTTTATTGTTTCTTTATTTCTTTGTTTTTTTTTTTAAATTTTATTTTTATTTTGTAAGTGGTGATGCATAATGCATGGATTCTTGTCGACTTTGTCATCTCCGCTTCAGCTTCCTCGCTTTAATTAATTGATTTCGCTTGATTAGCATTCATTATCTTATCACCACGCACCAATAACTTGCAGATGCAGAGTTCCTGCTCGGGCCACGTCCTCGGCGACGAATGCAACAGCGATTGGGAGTGCAAAGAGAGCATTTCCGGATCGATATGTCACAGAGGGAGATGTCTTTGCCAACCCTTCTTCGCCAGAGTCAATCAAACGGCTTGTGTGCAATGTGAGTCATTTGCTTTTTTTCATACATTATTTTCAGTTTCATGAAAAATTTTTCAGCGACTTTGCTGGGGTACGACTGTGTGGTACCCGAACAGTGCTCGCTCAAGGTCGCCAATAGCAGCTGTTTGGACGGGACGTGCCGCTGCGTCGACGGATTCCTCCAGTTCCGGAAGCACACTTGTCTAGGACGTGAGTCAATTTTCAATTATTTTTACAGAGTGTCCCAAATAACATTTAAAAAAGCTAACATTCGATGAGATGATTCTTAGTGTGCTGTGATTTGATTAGTGTAAATCTAATCACTATTTCTATAAAGCGCATCGTTTTGTGATTGAAAAACTTGTTCTTTTATTTTTTCCTGTTTTTCTATATTTATTTTTAATTAAAGCTTAAAGTTTTTAATTTTTGTTTTACTCAAATTTGTTATTCATATGTTTTCATTAAGATTTGAACAAAATGCAGCGAATATACGATTTTAATATTTTTTAATTCGTCTTCAATACGAGATTGGGTACTTCAGAGGTTTTTGATTTTAAATTGATTTGTGATTTTTAGATTTTTTAAGTGGATTTAAGCAGGTTTCGCAATTTGTAAATCATACGTTTTTACCTCTTCAAGATTTAAAACTTTTTTTTTGTCTCGTTCAAAACTTCCAAGTTTCCATTCAAGTTTTTCAACTGATAATGTTTTCAGGTTTTTAGTTTCAGGATAGAATTTATACAGTTTTACATCGTATTGGTTTTCTATTTTTTAAAAGATTCTCAAGTTTTCGAAATTGGGAGAATTAATTATAGAGGGATTTAAAGATTTGTTCGAATTATTCAGTTTTTAGTGATTTAATTTTTAAGATAAGATTTTTCAGGTTTTCAATTTAGGTTTTCTAAAAATAAATTAATTAAAAAACGAGATAAAGCCAATACAATTTTTAAAAAATGTTTAAAAATACAAAATTTTGGGGCAAATTTTTGATTAATTTGATTAATTAAATTGATAAAAAAAATGCATTGAAACTTTAATTCAAACAACAACAAAGTTTTTTCGAAAAATTTTACCAAAACTGGATAAAATTTAACAAATTAGATTAAAATTGGTATTATTTTAGCTTGTTTTGCCCGATTTACTTTGTTTTTGTAGCAGGGAATTTTTATTTGCAAGATCTTGTCAAAATATGCATAAAAATTACAAAAATAAATCTAAATTGATGTTATTTCGTTTGTTTTTTTGATTTAGGTCTTTTTGAGTAAAACAAAAAATTAAACAAAAAACGGTTTTTTCAAGTCGTTAAGGACGTTTTAAAACTAAAATCTCAGTGTTTGCAAGATTTGTTTGAATTTTCCTGTTTTTAGTCCTTTAATTTTGAAGATAAAATTTTTCAGGTTCTCATATTAAGTTTTTCAAAAATGAATTAATTAAAAAACAAG